GTCCATTTTTACTTAGAAATAAATCTGAATAAACTTACTTCTCTAGCAAGTGCATTTTGGACTCTGGTCTTTCAGTCCAATCTGATACACCTCTGCACAGAACTACATTGCATTGAGTGAGTGTTCAGCATGTCTTGCTCCCACGGCAAGAACATGCAGGATTGCAGCTGACCTGCTGATATTTCATTCTCAGGATTTGTAAAGCTATTTTGCTTCTTTCTTAAGCTAAAAAGAACAGGAAAGCAACACTAGTCTTCTTTTCAGTGCATCTAGGGCAGGGACCTATTGCATGCCACTTGATGCTTTTGTAGCACGACTTCATTATATTTACTCATTAGGAAGGCAAGGACTGGCAAACAGCAGCAGCAGCAGCAGCCCTTCCAGAGGCTGCAACCTGCTGCTTAAACCATGGGATATGAGTGAAGGGCCATAATTATGTGTACAGTGTTATACAGCCAAGGGAGGAGCTGAAAGTACAGGTGGTAATTTTGTAGTAGGGAAACAGAGGGAGAAGGGTGTAATTTGGTAGCATGAGCCCTGGGAGAAAGTGGTTATGCTGTGGCGGTGATAACTAGGTAATTGCTGGCAATGACAGTCAGGGAACTGTGGGGAGCTCGGATGTACAATGGTGAAAATGGACTCTGGATGCAGCAGGATTTTGCAAAAGGTTATAACCCATAGCCGAGACAGGGTTGCAACTAGGAGAGGAAATCTCCATAGACATTTGGATGTCAGCCTGCTAGAGAAAGAAGACACAGAAGTACTATTAAAACAGGAAAACAAGTGCTATCACCAAGATATTAGTATTATTCTTTCAAGCCACATTTGACTAAGCACTCCAAAATGTATCTTAACTAATACCAAGGTTGCCAAAAACATGCCAACTTGTGAGACCTTCAGATCTCTTTAATCAAACAAGATGTTACAAATAGCCCCTCCAGTTCCCATTCCCCTCCAAACTGCTTTTTGTAACTTGCTTCTTAATTAAGAGATCTAGACATCTTAAACACTTGGACCTTGGAGACCTTGGACATGGTTGGCCTAATTTTTCTAGTAGCCAAAATGGGGCTTTTACTTAGTTAGACATCTTACTGCTGGGGCTTTTTCAGATCACAGCTCAGGACCTAATAAGCAGAAAAACAGCCGAGTGAAATAATATTTTTCCCTTCTTCCTCTTGACAGATTGGCTGGTTCCTTGACAAAGCTGAAAGGGTGGCTCAGAGAACTTGGTAGCCAGCATCTTCCTGCTCCTTGAGCAATTGGTTCTTGCAAAGGCCAAACAGGCCTTCCTCAACCTGCCACCCTCTGGATGCATGGAAGACCACAACTCTCATCCTCCCCAACGAGCAGGTCTGACACATCTGGAGGGCACCAGGTTGGAGAAGGCTGGGCTAAATCAATCCTGAATGTTTGGCCACCCTGCTGCTACACAATCTGCAATGCTGTCCCTGGAGCACTCACATTGGTTCCCATACAATTAGAGGGCGCATTGTTTGTGTTCACACTGGATCGGCAAAAATGATCAGTGAGCTTCTGGGAAGCCAGACCAAAGTAGACCTCCAGGTTGGCAGGCCACTGGCTGGTATTTCATGGCTTGAAGTATCCTTATCCTCTAGTGCAGTGGTTAAGAATGTGGGGCTAGAGATCTGGGTTCTAGCCCCCACTCAGCCATGGAGTGGCTGGGTGATGTTGGGCCAGTCACCGCCTCTCAGTCCAACCTACCTTACAAGGTTGCTGTTGTGAGGATAAGATTAAAAGGAGAATTGTATAAGCCACTTTGAGTTCCTTCAAAAAAAGGACAGTGGGATATAAATACAATAAAAAATCTGGCTTCTATTCAAACTTTGTTCCAGTCCATGTGTATTCCTAGTCATAGCTTTCCTTTCTATTCCTGCAGACCCACACACCCACAAGTGCCTCAACAGTCTGAATCTTGGAAGGAAGATCTAGTTATGGTGCAGTGTGCAAAATCACCACCTGCACTTGTGATGAACAACTCTCTGTGCAACTGGTTTGTGTGTGTATTTATAGGCTGCCTATAACTGCCATGCTGAAAACAGTTTCATTGTAGGCTCAAATGGTTAAAAATAATGCCTTTTTTTTTTTAAAGGAAGCAGCAGGCTTGTGATGTGGGGGGCTAGGCATCAGTGGGAGCTTTTCTTCCATTGTAGTTGCAAATTGTGCATCTTTCCCAGCTTGCACCTAACTTAGGCCCCTCTCTTGCATTATGCAGAATGGGTGCTAAGTACTCAATTCCTCCTTGCAGAGCCTGTAGGATTCCTTTTCTGTGATTGTATGAATGCTAAGGGGACTGCACTACCTCTGTCTTCGCCAGACTGCACACTGCATAAGATTGCATGGTGATTTGCGGATGGTGGGTGGGGGGGATTCAGTCCAAAGGAAGCACCAGTCATGCGTGCTGAGCCCTGCAATTGCCCCTTCCCCGTCATCCCCCACAAAATGCCCTGCTGGGCAGGTAGAGCCATGCATGGAAAGTAAGCCGTGCCAGACAGCCTCTCTTCCAGACCCCTTTCACTTGACTTGGCCCATAGGATGCAGCTGTGCTCCAACTCCATCAGCCCTGATGCTGGTTAAGCCGGCTACAGCACATGGGAGCTGGAGTCCAGCAACATCCAGAAGGCTGCGGTTCTGCATGCTCCCGCCTCTGGGGAAAGGCAAGATGGTTGCATCATGCACCTGCTCTGAAGACTTTCTCTCTCTGCTCGTTCCCTATTTCCTGGCAGGCGATGGCCCCCGCCGCAGCCGCGCTCCCCTTTTCCAGGCCTTAGCAGCCCTCCTGCGGGGAAAAGCGGAAGGGGGGGGGCTCCCGGCACCCTCCGGGGGGTTCGCAGCCCCGCGCCGCAGAGAGGGAGAGGACCCAGCGCCAGCGAGAGGCAGCGGAGCGGGCCGCGGCTCCAAGCAGGCCGATTAAAATTCCGAGCAGGCGCCGCAGCCGGGACAAACCAGCTCGCTCCCACTTGCGGGTGACGTCATCGTCAGGCGTGTGGGGGAGGGGAAAGCCTCCAGAAACCTCCTCCTCCTCCTCCTTCCTCACTGCAGGGGCCGGACTTGGCCAGATCCTGCAAAAAGCGGCAGGCACTGGCCGCCCCCGCAAGCTGCTGCAGAGGCGGGGGAGGGGACGGGGATTCGACAGTGCTTTCCCCACCTCGGCGAGGGAAGGGGAAGACGGGCGATCGCTCACGCTCGTGTTCTACCCCCGCTCCTCCCTTGTGGTTCCTGGAGCTCTCCGCAAAGCTCCCCCCGGTCCTCCTCTGTAATCCCCCTCCCCGAGGCGCTCCGGAGCCTCACCTGATATCCCAGCTCCCGCCGCCTCTCTCCATGCTGCAGCAGCTGCGGCCACGCCGCCGAGCTCGCACAGCCGGCACCAGCCCAGGCGCCCGCCACAGCAGGCGTTATTCCGCTGCTTGTCGCAACGTGATCGATTAGATACATAGATGGATAGAGAGATAATCGTAATTCAGAGGACTCCCCCATTGATTTATGCATGCAGAGCGGAAGAGCGGCCCGTCGCCGCTCCGAGGGGAACACTCTCGGCCAAGACCCTGCCCTAAAATACACGCAGACCCGTAACACACTTACACGTACTCACTTCCCTGGGAGCAAGTACCATTGCACTCACAGGGACTTACTTCTGAGGAGACACTCGTAGGACGGCCGCCCGCTCCTGCGCGTGCTTCATCAGCAAGTCCGGCTGCGGGGCTTCAATCCTCCGACAAACTTCGCCGGAGGAAAGAGCCCCCGAACTCGATGGGGCTTACTTTGGAGTAGGCAAGGCGTGCCTTGGGGCAACCACCTCCCCCGGGGTTTCCTTCAACACGGCTAGCCGCCCCGAGGGACCCCTCCCGTCGCTTCCCCTGTAGTGGGCTTAGGCTTCCCCCGCATCTGTGCCTCCCCGTTTATGGATGCTGCGTGCCTTGCATAACCGGGCGGGCGGCGGCAAATGCAGCCTTTTCGGAGTCAGCAAGCAAGGGCATAGATGCTGGGCAGGCCTCGGGGCGGCGTGGCGGAGAAGGAGGGGGTGGCTTCTTTCTTTCTTTTACGCGTTGATATATATCTACTTAATAGAAAGATGTCCCCCCAAGGTCGGAGCCAGGGGCGCCTTCCTCTCCTGCGCCCTAAGTACAAGCGCTCCTTCCCCGGCCTGAGTCCCCACGAATCTAAGGCTCTGAGGCACCGCAGTGGGGCGGCGGTGGGGTCGCCGGTCGAGCCCAGCGCCGGCGCCTGTTGCCGCTTGGCCACCGGGCCCACCAGGCTCGCCAGACGCGGGCAGACCGCGCGGGGGAGCGGGGAGCGCGCCCCCTGCAGGGGCGTCTGCAGCCTGGCCGAGGAGGCGAAGGTGGGACCGTGCTCAGACGGCAAGGCCATGCCGGGCCGGGCGGGCGCGCAGGCGGCAGGGCTGGGCCGGCGTCGCCCGGGGCTGGTCCCTGCGCGGAGCGCCCAGAGGCCGCCGCGCTCCCCGCGGGTCCCGCAGCCGCGGGGGGGGGGGGGGGGGCAGAGCGCGCCCCGAACCGTGGCGGAGCAGAGGCGCCTGGCTGGTCCGGCCTGACATGTCTGTGCGTGGCGTTTCTCTCTTCCAAGGCACCTTTTCCCCTAATAATAATAATATCAATAATAATAATAATAATAATAATAATACAAAAACATTTTTTAAAAAATCACTCAGAGTCATGCCCCACGTCAGGGCTGCTGTGGGCGTGAGGCTGTACTTCCTCCGCCCCCTCCTAATGGAGTGAACCATTCCCTGCCTTCTCTTTCTATTTCGCCGCCCTCCCCCCCCCATCTCTCCTTCTCCAGCCGTCCCTCCAGCTGGGGTGTGCGTATGCGTGTGTGTGCGCACGCCAAGAAGAAGAAGAAAGTCTCCCGGTTTGCTCGGAACTTGTTGGCAATGCCTGGTGTGCAGCAGCCCCCAACATTTCCCCAACTCACACTTTAGGAACAAGAGAGAGAAAGAAATACCAAGATCTGCAATCGCAAATGGTTGTACTAATTATAGGATGGGACTTAAGTTGAACGGCAGATACATTTCTCTGGTCCTTGCAGTACAACTAGGTAAGTGGACGCACGCCTTCTTATGGGAGCAGGCTGGAGATTTCCGGGGGGGACACGCGTTTGGGGGTTGTTGTCTTTAATGCATCGTTGTATGCATGCAAAAGGAAAAGGAAAGAAAAAACAGCACGCACACCAACCAGTAATGACTACAGCGATGGTAAATGATTGTCATTAGTCGGTAACAGGGCTGTGCAATATGCGGCTTTCTTTGTAGGCATGAAGTAGACTTGTCTGTAAAATGGACTCTTCTTTTTTTCTTTTAGAAATCCAGTCTAATTCTGGATTTGCCGGTTCATTCAAAAGATCAAGGTGTGTGTGTGTTTCTCCGACTTCGGAGAGATAAGAAGAAAGGAGGTGTGGGGAGACAGGGGAAAAGAAATGCAGAATAACTAGTCTGTCAATCTGGGATGCTGATTTGCAAAACAAAAGACAAGACCCATTCGAGGCAGTTTGAAGTTTCTGTCCCAACTGCAGTCGTTTCATAAGGAATATTGTAGGACGAGGAGGAAGCATTTTGTGTTGGATTAAAAGAGTATGAGGGAGGGAAAAGGCAAGCAAATTGGGCGAAGCTGGGTCTGGTCTTCCGTGTCTGTTTCACTAAAAGTCTTACTAAAATTATGAATAATAATAATAATAGGGAACGGTTTTGGGGGGCTGCTAAAAATAGCCCGTTTTCTTTCTACACTGGTGGCTGGGGGCTTGAGCTGTTCCTGGTTTTCTCTGATATGATTTGAGGTTTCTTTTGCTGAGAGTTTAAGGCAAGGAAGAGGCTCCTTTGAAGTTAACACCACTTTGGTTCTGCTTTGAGTAAATTTATGGGTGAAGCCTACTTTACCTCTGTGATTTAAAAAAGAAAAAAAGGCAAATTTGCTTGGGACCTTCATAAGAAGACTGTCCTTCTAGCGTTTTGTCAAGGAGGTCGGTTTAAAGAACGAAACATCCTTTTGGAAATGCTTTACCCCCATCACCCCAGAGGCTTCCTGTCCCAAATCTTCAAGTCCCTGCAGCATTCTGAGAACAGAGGTGGTTAGGGCGGAGAGGGGAGACGCGAGAATCACAGACACCTTTACAATCTAAAATAATAATACGGCAGAGGCATGATCGGCCCTTGCAGTGAAAATGAGAACTGGGCAAACAGCCGCATGGTTCCCAGCACCATCCCGGGACTGGGGGGGGGGGGGATAACGCTCCCCTCCCCGATTCCCGACCCCGGTTGTGCCCTGACTATGCCGGAATTTCAGTTGTATGAAATAAAGGTGTGCATCTTAGATTTAGACATTAGCTCTGGTTCTGCTTCTGTGAGCCGAGGTAATTCTTTTGCGAGAGAAGCGGGACTGTCCTCGAAATGAATTTGCCCTTTTGTTTCTTTCACGCTTTGCATCCAAGTGCTTTCTTACACCGATAATGCTGAAACTGGGAAGGTTAAATTGGGATGGAAGACGGGCATACTAATGAAGGGCATCAAGAGGGACTGATGACACACACTGATCATTAAGCCCTGCTAAAATTCTTCAGCTCGTTCGGTTCCAGTTTATTTACCTTCAAAAGCTTTTTTTCAAGGGCTTGGCCAGCACGGTTGCACTGTTGTTGTGGATTTTTAAACATCTGGAGATCATGGGCGCGGGCGAAATGTTCTGCAGTTTCTGGATTATTTGGGTTGGAAACGAGCAATCCCCCATGATTGCTTTTCCCCATCAAAATGCATGCGTTTCTTTCCACTAATGTGGCTGGAATGTGTCCGGAATAGGGGCAAACAAGGTTGTTGGAAGAGAAGGGGGAGGAAATAAGGACTGCGGGAACGGAAGCTGTTTGAAAATAGGACGAAAGGGGGGAGAGAGAGAGAGAGAGAGAGAGAGAGAGAGAGAGAGAGAGAGTGCATGCAGACTGACACACACAATTCTTCCTATCTACGCGTTCTTAAGCGCTATTCAAAAATCACCAGCTAAAAGAGGGGGAATCACGTGTGTGTGCATGTGCATGTGCGAGCGTGTGTGCGTGTGTGTGCGCCCGGGCGCGCGCGCGCGCGGCCTCGGGCGCGCGCGAGTGTGCGCTACCGTGAATGAGGTTTTGTCACCTTTTCACCGCGCAGGTGGCTGGCCGTGTGATGCGGGAAGGAGCGAGGCACAAAGGCGCGTCTCTGAGCGCTGCGAGGAGCGTCTCTGGGGCGCTCCGGCAGCTCAGCCCGTTTCCTGGGACGGCCCTTCTCTTCCTCTGGCAGCGCTGGCCAGGTCACCTGAACAGGTGGGAGAGGCGCTTATTTTTAGCACTCCTCTCATCTTCATCCTCCTCGCCACCCCCCACCCTTTGCACCAAAGCGTGAAAGGGGCGGGAGGGAAGAGGAGCCGCGGCCCGGAGACTTCCCTTTAGGAACGTGCCTGCTTCGGCACAGCGTTTCCGACAAGCCTGGGCGGTTTTGAAGCGCGCCTTTTTATAGGACACGCTTTTACTTCAGGGATCGTCTTCCGTGTCTGTTATTTGTTTGTAGGTTCCGTATGGTAGCCAATCTCGACAGCCTCTGCGTGTTTTGACGTGCTGGGGAGTGGGTTAGAGAAGAAAGGGGGAGGTTGCTAAATCAGGTTAACAATATAGCGCGGGGCGGGGGGGGGAGTGATCTGCCCGCATTAGATTTTGGGGGAGGAGACCTTTTATTTTGCGACGGAACCCTCCTTCCCCGTTCCACTTTAAACAGGCGCGCATTCTCAGCCAGCCGAAGCGTTCACGTCGGAATTCTCGAGCGCAGTTGAATACAAAACGTCCCGCTTCCAGTTGCAAGCCCGGTCTCTACTGTATGTCCCCGAGGCTGGGCAAGCGCACTGGCCTGTTGGAAGAAAGTGGACACTTTCCCTTCCCCGGTCGCTGCTGAAGGTTGCCGAGGCGAGGCGAGGCGAGGCGAGGCGGGGGGGGGGGGAGGGGAGGAGAGCGCGGATGTGAGCAGTAGCGAAGGGTTTGCTCGGGATCAAGCCAGTGATCAATTAAACCAACAAGTCGCTAATTCCCTTTCATTTGCTGCAGGATTGATAGGGATAAATTCCCCGTATGTTGCTCTCTATCCATCCACCTGCTTTTGCAAAGCCAGAGACGTGGGAGCTGCGGCTGCTGGTTGTATTAGAGCATTTGTGTATTTGAGCAATGGAATCAATTGGCCAACACGCCAGCCAAAATAGCACAATTTCTCTCTGTGTCTCTCTCTCACATACAAGCGCGCGCGCGCGCGCACACACACACACACACACACACGCACGGCGGGGGGTGGGGGCGGGGGTGGGATTTCACTTCCACAGCAAACCAGATCCATTTTGATCAAACCGCTTTTCTCCCTTCCCTTTCACGGTTTGGGCGACAACACCTTAGTCTTTGGGGAAATGTGGAAGGAAGAACAAAGCCATTCAAATGAATGGGAGTTTCCCCTGGACTTTGATGGAGGCTGCACCCGAAAGAGAGGTCTGGAAGCCCGCCTTCCCGATGGGAAATGCGGGGGAGGGAGGACCGTACTGGTTCCAGTCTTCCTGCAGATCCTTCCTAGCGGCTTGGGGTTTTCACTGCGAGAGGCAGGAATGGGTAGCTGGAGAACAAGCGCCGCTTATGCGTGTGGCCGATAGGGACGGCAGCACAGGCGCTGCCGGGGCGGCGGGGAACACGGGAAGGCGACTGGTGAGGAGATTCAGTGGGGCGGGGGAAGCCCAGCCGATGCTTTTCTTCTGCATTCAGTGGGAGAACCTGGGTGGGTCCCTCGTGGAGGAGGAGGAGGAAGAGAGACCACAGGGAAGGGATTAAGCATGCACAGAACACGCCAGCCGCTCTTTAGCTTCTCACTTAGGCAAGTTGCACATTCAGGGATTTTCATGTGAGTAACTTTTCGTGAGGGCGATCGCACTGCATCGCCTTCCAAAGGAGGCGGGCCCTCCGGAGCCAGTCGCTAACCGAGTCCGCTCGCTGCAACGCGGGGGCCGCGGGGAGATGTACGTGGGAAGCAAACTGTAGACGCGAAGACCCCCCACCTCTGTGTCTCACGATTTGTAATTCAGACTTTCTTTCCTTTCTTCCTTTTTATCCAACTCTTATGGACAAATTCACTGCAACTCTAGTTTTCTGAAATGGGCTTTTATAAACACACACACATGGGGGGGGGGGGAGTCATCCTAGAATTTCACCCTCCTCCGTCTTTGCAGATGGGCGCAACAGACTTAAGGGTTAACCATAGCAATCATTAAATGTTTCTAAATCGTTTGCTGAAATGAATTTAGCATTTCTGACATTTTCTCGAAGTTTTCATTTTGCTTTTGTTTTTTAATTAAATGAAACAAAAGAAAAAAAATGTTACAGCCTGCACTGAAAAAATAATTCCAAATTTTATATCTTTCCGAAGAAATATAACAATAAAAATAAGACAATGCTTAAGCGCAAAATGGCATGAAATGGAGAATTATTATTATTTTTAATTTACTAATTTATTTATGTATGGGACACTTTAAGAAGAACAACCAAAGATAGGACGATCTCTCTGTGAATTGAGGTGACATTGTTTCATTTAAAATGTTTTCCATCCCACTTCTCAAAAAGTGGGGTGCGAATGGTTTTTGTAGGGTAAGCCTAGCTGAAGGCAGAGCGGATCCCGACCCTGTTACAGTTTGGATGCACATGAGTGCCTGGTGCGGACAGAAAGTCCCGTCGATCACACCGTTTTCTCAAGTCAAACCAGGGTTGGGCATTACGTGCGGTTTACCTTGCTAGGAGCTGTCCGGCTGATTTGGTGCTGATCTGTTCCCCAGCATACCTGGTGCAAGCAGTCAGAGCAGCGGGCAAGTGCGATGCGGTCTTTAAGGGCTTCTCGGACTGTGTGCTCAAGATGGGCCATAACATTGCCAACTATCCGCAAGACCTGGACGACAAGAGAAATCTTGAAACAATATGCCGGTAGGTTCAGTTTTTCGTTGTTATGCCGGCTCATGGTCACTCAAGCTTCTGCCCTTTATAATGTACCTATAGGGTCTCTTTTTCTTTTTCTAATTGCATTTGGCTTGAATTAGGACTCTCCATACTGCTGTAGCATCGACCTGATGCCACATGAGTTACCAGCTCCCCAGAATAGCAGTTATTTTGTATGTGGTTTGCCCACACTCCACAAGTTTCATTCCAAGCAGACTGAAATGCTAAGTTAAGCATAGTCATAAAAAGCCAGCAAGAACACTTGAATGCAGACTTCATCTTATTAAAGTAGATGGAAAGATCTACATTCAGTTCCCCAGTGCTAAACCTGGAATTGCAAATGAGTGTGTCAGTGGGCTTTGTTTCCCAATATATGTGATCGTGCATGCAGTTCACATTTCTTTTAAAGTCAAGAAAAAACCCGAATGCCCCCGAGTTGCATTCACAGAACTCTGTTACAATTAGGAAATTGTTGTATGGTGATTCTTTTATTTCCTTCTTTTTCTTATGTGGGGGCTTTAAAAATTAACTGACTGGATAATATTAATGGTCCTTCTTGCCCATGGATAGTCAAATGCATCCCTCCATCAAAATCACTGACTTTTCCTCTTTTGAAATGGTGGCTTTTAATGCATGGATCACTAAGAACAAGGCATCCAACAGACTTGAAGGTGGCTTGCTTCATTTTCTCTGTCCCCTTTTCTCTGCAGTCCATTGGGAAGTTTTTCTGTCAAACTGGATTTATCCTATTTTCCCAATAGCTCATTGAAGGTAGCAGTAGGAAATAGCTCCCCAAAATGAGTCAAGGGGGATCAATAATGCTTTAAAACGCTTCTTGAGCACTGATAATGCCTTTGAATGGGATGTAATATTGCAACGTGGCATCACGGGGCACTTTCATTTCAATACAATTTCTGCCTCTGCCATGTGTTGTGACATGTGCTCTGCTTGTGTTTATAATGTAACGCTGTCCCTATTGAATTGAATAGCAGGGCATGGTGGTGTGGCAGAGCAATATCTTGGGATTTCTCTCCCCTGCACTTCCCCTTATGTGGATTTGAACCCTTTGCATCCAATGTGACTTTTCAGGGCATTCAAAATGAAGCCATTCAAAGGGTTTGCATTGCAATTGAGCACTTTGATGTGGTCCTGCAAGCCACAAACCATTTCTGAAGCAGTTTGCTCTAAAGTGAATAGAAGTCATTGTGTTTGCCTTAAACTGATGGGATATTACACATTTTGAGAGGGACAGCCCAATTTTAACTCTGAAATGCTGACTTGGTCTATAGGCTGAATTGGCAAAAGTGCCACATATGCTAGGCAGACTTAAAAGCCTGTAATTCCAAATATGCGAGAGGATTGGATTGAGAACAATAAAATGTAATTCTGTGCAAATGACTTTGAAATGGATTGTACTAATCCAATCCAATATTCAGATGAAAAGCTGATGTATGGCCAAAAGTGTTTTATGTTTACTTGGAAACAAGTCCCTCTGATTTCAGTTGGACTTATTTCCAAATACAACTTGTTAACCTTGAAGCAGATTCCAAATACTTCCAATGCCAAAGCTGCAATCTTCCAACAAATTTATTTGGCATCAAATGCACCCATTGGAATTGCTGGGATTTACTTCTGGGTAAGCCTTCCTGTGTAGAACTGAACTGTAAACATGTTTAGGACTTTAGTGTTCAAATCTCAATGCAATCTGTCCAGTGTGTATTGGGATGAACCTAAGCCTACTGTACTTAGCTGGAAATAAATTCTGTTGAAAGCAGAATTCCTCATTAAAAGCACTGAAGTTCCAGATACCAATCAGTTTGAATCCAGGGAGTGAATCTGGCTGCTACACTTTCACACCTTAATGCAAAATCCATTCATTTGGCTGCCAGTCCCATTAAAATAGCTGTGTTTAGAAGTGGGTTGCATCAAGACGGTATTACTGATTTGAGTTTGCTTGTGTTTTTAAAATTGAGAATGCCAGCATTTTTTGAACAAGTGCAAGCACAAAAACGTTAAATAGAAATCTTCATCTGTTTCTCCCTCCTCACACACACCATACACATAAATGTGGTAGTGAGAATTTCTGTCTTGTTTTCGAGTTGTTTCCTAGAAACCCTTCCTTTGATTTCCTTGCATTTCTGCTAGATCTTTGCCTTTGGATTTGGACAACAGCATGCTGGTAGAGAGGGATGGGAAACAAAAACCTAAACATCCTCTGTGTGAAACCTAATAAATACAAACTACCCCCTGGTGGTGGTGGTGGTAGTAGTAGTAGTAGTAGTAGTAGTAGTAATAATAATAATAATAATAATAATAATAATAATAATAATAATATGCATGAGCAGAGAATACATTTGCTAAAGTGTGGAAAGAACCCCCTGCCTGCTCCCATCTCCCGCTTTTGCCCTGATATTGGAAACCTCCATTGTTTCCCCCGGAAAAAAGAAAAATGTCTGCCTGGCATCCTAGTGGAATATACAACTGGTGAGCTACAAGAGCTGCAGCATGCCTCATGTGAGGAAGAAGCAAAATATGCTTCATTTTTCGGGGAGACCAAACGAGGAGGCCTTGACCCAGATCCTGGGCTGAGTTCCTTGCAGCATACTGGATAACACATCCTTTCTCCCCATCACCCCTGCATGCTGCCGCTCCTTCTCTGCTCTTGCTCGCTTGCTCTTATGTGTGTTGAAATAAGATTTAGTTTTCCTTTGGGAGACGCAATTACAGCAGAAACACAGCAGGAGAGGCGCCCTCTCAGCCTTCTTGCCATCTCCATGCCTCATTATTTATTACAAATGCAGTTCTGCATTGGACTCCGTAACCATTTCAGAGCTCTCCTAAGTTAGGATGTGGAGCAGCGCCACAATCTGTTTCAAAACACCCAGAACCATCACTAAGCCAAGCCTAATAGATGACTTAGGGGTTTATTTGATATTTTGTTTGTCTGTTTAAATTATGTTTGTTTAAATTATTGTTTAAATTATGTTTGTTTAAATTATTTGAGGTGAAGTAAGAGAAGACATAACAGCCAATGCAGGCTAGCCTTCCTCAACCTTCAGATGTGTCAGGCTGCAACTCCCAGTATTCCCAGCCAGCACAGTCAATGGTGTTAGTCAGGAATGATGGCAGTTGTAGTCTGACACATCCGGAGGGCACTAGGTTGGGGAAGACTCCTGTGCTTGCCTGCATTCGCATATGTGGCTCTCTTCTGTGACTAGAATTCTGTACTGAAGCTAGAGCAGGACTCTTTCGTTCTTTCATTTTATACCACCCAACAGCTGAAGTTCTCTGGTTGCTTTAGAGCCATTTAAAAAATTAAAACATAAAAATGGTATAAATTATTAGCATTATTATCAGTCCTGCTACAAAAATGGGAGATGGCCATCCGAGCTGGAGTCAGGTGTGCAGGCATGGACTAGTTCCACAAAGGAAGCACCCGTGCTGCCACAAGCCAGATGGTTCTCGGAGGCAGACATGCCTTCCCTCTGTCCCTGCTGCCCAGTGTTCCATGGTAAGTGCTCCAAGGCAGGTTATGCTGTTTGGAACCTGAGGCAGAAGTTCCCACTGGTGCCTCTTTCTCAGCCTGGCTGTAAAAAGACAATTATACATAGATCTCCAACAAATTGTTGGACATCCAAAACCATCTGGCTGAAGCAGCTGCTACACTTTGCCTCATGGTAGGGCCACCCCTGAGAAGTTGAGATTGCATGTACCCAGGGCTAAGTGAAGTGAAAAGGACAACTGAATAGCACCAGTCACAGGAAAGAGCATGTGGATCATAATTATGTGCTGGTGAGATATCTTGGCATCAGACCACACAGAGTGTTTATACAACTTACAAGAAGCCACCAATTGATGGAGAGAGGCACATTATTATTAATGCCACATTTCCAGGGATCAGCCTTGGAATTGAAAGGAGATTCTAGGGCTGAACCATGGTGAATGCAGGCTCCTAGGAAGCCCTTGGTCAATGCTATTCATGTTTAATATTCATTTATTGGGTTTGGCTATTCACACCTCCAGGCATTGAAAAGTTCTGCCTCTCTGTGCCATGGATGCAGCTTACAGTACAAACTGATCACATGCTTCCCACAGGCATCCTAAGAATTGTTTAATATCTAGTCCCTCCAAAATAAGAAGCAGCAGATCATCTTCCATCATAAAGCTCACCAAAGCAGACCAAAACAGAGGCACTGAAGCAATAGCTCTGCAGTGTGAATGAGGCCAAACGCAACTAGACCGCTAAGATACTCAGTGCTATGCCTTCAACTGCTTCCAAATCCTCCAGCCTTTTCCTCTTGCTGGAGTTTGGACACAATGGCTTAGGAGGAACTTCCATTGACTGAGCTTGGACTTCCAAGTACTGTAGTGTCAAGTACTGAAGGCCCAAGATGTCCATTTGCACCAAAGGGGAAAGGAGCTACCAGGGTTTCATGAAGGAGTAGCCAGGCTTGGTTGGGAGAAAGGAATTGCTAGCACCATTATTGGACATGTTAAAGCAGTCTGCTCAAGTGTTAATAAATGGGGCACATACCTGGTAGAGACTGCTAGAAAATAAATGGCATTTTTCTATATCAGAGACCTTCCGAGCGCTACTGATGCTCATGCCTAAGTTTTCATTTAATGCATTTTCTGACTAGTCTCCCAGGGAGCTATGTGACTGCATTACTGGGCTGAAGGTTTATGGATTGCCTGTAATTGCTTGCATTTGTGTCATGTCTTGTTATTGTGCAGATGTTATACCTGTATCTTACTTGATAGAACGGCATTTTGCTGCACTTGACTTTCTCTGTGCAACTGCATTGTTATAGTGCCGCATTATTTTAGAGGCCACTTTTTCTTATTTTAGGGCCTCCCATTATTTGTATTTTCTACTACCGTGTTTGACTCCCTCTTTGCCTTGTTTCGCACACAAACACAGAGAGAGGGAGGGAGGGAGAGAATTTAACATTGACAGTGAGGGGTTTGTGATCTTTTGTTCCAAAAGTAATGCGAAAAATAGCAGCCACTATAGTCCAAGCTTTCTAGGGCTCAGATCCAGCAGCTATTTTCAGTAACTGGATTCAGCTCCAGTATCTGCTAAATGGAAAGAAAGGAAGAAACTGTGTGTTTATATTTCTGCATTTACGTTACATTGTTCTACCAGAGAGATCAGGAGTGCTTGTGTGGCTCCCTATCCCTCACAACAACCTTGCAAGGAAGGCTACTCTGAGAGCTAGTGACTTGCACAGCATAATCCAGTGAGCTTCATATCTGAATGTGCTTTTGAACCTGGGTTTCTTCAGCCCTCCAACACCTTGGAGGTATAATTAAGGCATAATTAAAGCCTGTGACCTGCGTTTCTGAACTAATAAGCTCAGTCCTCGAAGATGGGAAATAATGGAGAAGAATGTCCTTTGAACATGTGCCAAGTGCATTCCCTTCACACCCGAGTAATCATAACTTTCCACTGCCATTTCAGAGGGGAAGGCCATCACAGCTTAGAGCAGAGATTTCCAAACACCTCACATTTCCTGAAATCAGCACTGTGCAGAAATACCTTGGGCACCATCAAAATGTTTTTCTATCACCTCTATATATTCACAGCTAACTCTTCTCCTAAAAAACTTGTAATAGTGTGGGTGGGCGGGTGGGGGAAATATCCCTGGGTAGGAAATGCCCATAATTCATCAGTGCTTTGTACACAGATGGTCAGACCTTGACATGTCTAGTTTAAAAGATCTCTTTGGGAAATTGGATGCTGGGCTAAGGTAGACCTCCCTCTTCCCTAGCATATACTCTTAGTATATGCTCAGTAGCAGGCACCGAGGAGGAAGTAACATACTGGGCTAGTCATTTCTTCAGATGTGTTAGATTACAAGTCCCACCATTCCCAGACAGCACAGCTTGAATGGTCATGCTCTTTGGGGATGATGGGAGTTATAGCCCAACACATCCGAGGGGCATCTGGTTAGGGAATGCTGCTATGTACACTTACCTTGGCAAAAAACCTATAGAACTATCCTTGATATGTTCCCATATAAATGGGGCTGTAACTTAGAACAGTGTTGTAGATTGATCATCTGAGTTTCATCAGTTATATTTGCATGCAACATCTATACTTCTGAAGCAAGAAAGAAACCTTTTCCTTCCTTCCTTTCATTTGCTACAACTCTGCACCACCCAGCAGGCAAAACTATGCACACCTGTGCCCTAAGAAACTTTATCTTAGGAGCACTTGTCCTCACACTGGACTCAGAATGCTTCTCAATTTATATTTTAAAATCTGATTGAAAATATACTGTCTGATTTAAGGAACCCCTATGCAAGTTTAGGCAGAACTACAATTCCCAACATAGGATTGCTCCTTAAAGGCATCTGACTGGTTTATGGAAGGGGGGCATCCATTAAACCTGTGCCCTCTAGACATGTTGGACCGTTTTGCAGCCAGCATAGACTGGGGATGGTGGGAGCTGTAATCCAACACTTTTGTTTAGGGAAGGCATCAACTCTTTTTCTGAAAGTGAATCCTTGTATGCTCAAAAGGGCACCATGGATAGACAAGAGGCTGGGATGAGCAGGTTTCAGGGATCTCCAGGATTTTACGAATAGTCTCTGTGAGGGGGGCAGCTGAGGAGGAGGGGACCCGAGCGGTCCAATGAGCGCTAAGCACGCACAGTGTGCGAGGGCTGCCGGCTGATGACTGCGGGAGGGCAGCAAGGGAACGGAATGGAACCGCGGGGACGGGGCATGGCTGGCTGGGATCCTGACCAGCGAGCAGGCGAGACAGGGCCTCTCTGACGGGAAAGCTGGACCTGCGGCCACCTCCACCTGTCCTTTTCGAGATCAGCCGGCGGAGGGAGGGGAAAGCCCTCGGGGAAGCAAGCATTCCTGACCGGCTTCTGTCCTGTGTCTCCCTCCCCACCCTTTCCTTAGGTACTGGGACGATTTCCACGCCTGCACCCTCACAGCCCTCACGGATTGCCAAGAAGGGGTGACAGACGTCTGGGAAAAACTGAAAGAGAAATCCAAAAAGCTCGACTACGAAGGCAATTTGTTCGTCCTCTGCAGCAAAACGAAGGGGGCAGCTTCGTCCGTGGCGGCCTCCGCTTCCCTCCTGCTGCTGCTGCTGGCTCTCTCGGCCACGCTGGCGACTTACTTTTGCTTCGTGTAGAGAGCATACGCATCCACACGACACGATTCCACCCCGCCCCATCCTGCCGCCTCCACTTCCCACCGCTTCTTCTCTCTTTTTCCAGGAACTGGATTTATAGAGGAAAAGTCTCCGTCCCTTGTCTTCGGGTGGGCGGGGGAGGGTGCTGGGGAGGGAAAGTGTTGTGAATTCTCCGGGAAGCTGCCCCAACATCCATCTGAAGGAAGGACGGTGGGGAAAGGGAGAGAAACGACCGCCACTCCTCGCCACGACGCGCGTCTCTCTCGCCCCTCGTCTCAGTCCCCTTTTGTTCGCGTTCTGATGATTTGCCAAATGGTACCAAACGGTGAGCAACCAACAGCCAAAATCGGACCTCAGCTTTATTCCTCTCTTCAGATCAAGGTCAACTTGAGCCCTCTTTTTTTTGTGCGCAAAAAGAATCTCAGGAACGGCTTTGAGCCACCACCGAATATTAATAAAGCGTTAATAGGTAATAATAATAGTAATAATGATGATGATGATACTATTGATTATACTGCTCACGGCAACAGAAGAGGGGCTTTTCTGGGGAACATCAGCAGAAAGGATGAGTTGAGCAAAGGAATCGAAACGAGAACGGGGGAGGGGGGAAGGCACCGGAAATGAATCCCCCTTAACTTGGCCACGTGTGTGAAGAAGCATTCGATGGTGAATTAACACAGAGACGATCATCTTTCCTAGGAAACTCTCGTGGTTGGTTGGTTGAACGAGAATTTTTTGGTCATTCCACTTCAAAGACTGAAGCCTCCCTCCTTAAGCGTGGAGGGGGAGAGAAACTGGAGGACGAATGAAAGCGGGGAGGGCACAAGAAAGGGAAAAGGGAGATTTAGCTAAAGGGTCGACCCAATGAATGCTGCTACATTTGCTGAGAGTTGAGCTTTACTTAACTGTCGAGGCATCTTGTCACGTTTCACTGCCTTTTCAGTTTTTAATTCTTTTACTGTTATTATTTTTATTAGTTCCCCCTCTTCTTTGGTTTTTTTTTTTTTTCCTGCATACTATCATTACCGTAAAATATCTGACCATCTAACAGTGTAGATCACAGGAGGGGAAAGGGAGGGGGGGTTCGTATGTTAACGTTAAAGAAGAGAAAAGAAAAACACACAGTATTGGGTGGGGGATAATATTAAAAGAGCCCTGATTTTGAAAGGGAAAAATGTACTTTAAGAAAGTTTATTATAAAGTCGATTCAGCAAAAAATAATATAAAAGATTTGCTACAAAGTATAGAAAAAAGTACAAAGTATAGAAAAAAGTATAAAATAAAATTATTGTTTGAAATGAGGAAGTAGCTCTATTTTTTAACAATGTCAATGTAAATTATTATATATAATGTTTTGAGAACAGTATATATAATATATAATGATTATATTATATATAGTCTTTGAAAGGTGCTTTCTTCAAGTAAGTGGGCCAGTTATCTAATGTAGAGTGGAGACTTAGTGAAATGGATCACGGCATTAACCAGGCAATGACGTGGCTGGGCACAACCAATGGGCGTCTGGCAGGTGGAAATGTCAGATTCATGAGCTAATTCAGTAGAGCATCTTGGCTTTCAGTGGATTCGGTCATACTTAAACAATTAAGGCTTAACTCTGGCATTTTTTCACTGAGTTCTGTGAGTGAAGCTGATGGTACGTTTTCATGGAAATAAATGTAGAGCTTTGTATATGTTTATGTTTAATATTTAAGTGATTCCTTGACTGACAGTATAAAGCAGTTTTCTCTATCAAACGGAAAAGGGAACCCACGACATCCAAAAGACCCTGCGCCTGATGCACTTGAGTTTAAAAAATGTGAAAAGATGAAAGGGAAATATTTTCCCCCCAAAATTTGTCTTCTTTTGTGTGTGTTTCCTAAGCAAGCTTCCTTGGATGCAAAAGCTCAGTCCTAGGCATGTCTACTCAGAAGTGGCATTGGGTGGGATTTAATGTTAGCCATATTTAAGTTAGTTTCCCTTGCAATGAATGGAATCTAATTAGAATTAACCTTGGATACAACCAATTAAGGTCAATGGTGCTCATTCCCAGGTCAGTGGGTATAGTAGTCTCCAGCATGCTGCTGTCCGGATGTGTTGAACTACAACTCCCATCACCTCCATCCAGCCATAGGAGTTATAGTCCAATGCATCCAAAGGGCACCAGATCAGGTAAGGCTAGAGGACACGCTCGCCAGCTATATACTATTGAATAAAAAGGTCCTTCCCAGAAGTTATGTGCCCTTTACTTCCCAGGAGGGTATTATTCCATGACCCAGCTGGGTACAATGCATACAATAATCCTAAAGCGGGTGCACCGGGAGGAGAGCCTCCTTCGTTTCACTGACTTCCTACTAAGATACCAGCCTTCAGCGTCCTGATGAGCGGAGGCAAGGGGGCCAATAAGTTGCCTTGATTTCAGTGGGGCTTGCTTCTGCGTAAAGAATGCTCCCTAGTATTGCGCAGCTATTGCTTTTAAAGGGGGGGCTGGGAGAGTGAGAGGAAACCCTAGAACAGTAAAAGCAGGCCGTTCCCTCAAATCTATTGTGTTGATAGATGCCGGGGCATCGTGACAGATTGGGGAGCGGGGGGCGAGGGCGGGATTGCAGCCACATGCAAAGAGCTGCGCTTGGATATATAGCAACCTCTCCTCGGAGCAGTGAATTTGGAGAGTGCTTGCATTGTTTCTTTTAAAATACCCTATAATAAACCAGAAGCAAGGAAATTATGACGTGCTGAGACACACGCGAGTATAGATAGGCTTCTGCCCCTCCCGCTGCCCGCTAAAGGTCGTTTGCATCTGTCTCTATAGAGCGGCATTAAGAACGCAATTCATACATGTTTTAAGCACAGTTAAAAACATCAGGCATATATAATTCTTTTTGGGGGCTAAGGACACACAGGACTGCGCCCTGTTCAGTTCAATGACTGGCGCATGCGGGCTGGGGGTTTTATACCTAACTAGCAGTTGTTTCTGCGGCCTTTCTCAGGACTTGCTTCTTCCAGCGATTGTGCAACTAGGGGCAGAGCCGTTCCCAATGCCATCCAAGGCAGGTTTCCTCAGAGGTAAGCCCCGCCGAGTTCAATAAGACTTACTCGCGGGTAAGCGTGGATAGGATTGCAGCCTAAGCGCCTATATTTAGATTTAAGGTGCGTTAAATTTAGCTCTCGTGTATCCTAAAGTTAACTCCTCTGCCTCGCGTGTGTGTTACAAGAAACCATTCTTCCGATGCTTTGGGCTCAGCCCCACCCTGGAATTTATAAGCTTTTGTGCGGAGAAGGGGAAGGAGCGCGCGCGCAAGGCGCGCCACTAGCAGTTCTTGCAAAGGAAGCGCTGGCGAGGCCTTTCATAATTAATAAACCCGGGGACAGAGAAGAGCTTCTATCGATCCGACAGCAGAGTCGGCAGTAACCTCGTCTATTTATAGCCTCCCGGTGCCTCTCTCATGAAGGCAACATCAAAGGGTAAATAAGGGCCTTTTCCTTTCTTCACCGGAAGAAAGGGAAAGTTCTGCGCGAGGCTCGAGGGTTGCCCGTCGCGGAGTTATCGAATTCTGCTCTTGCAGTCGCGCGCCTGTTTGAACTCTGATGGGAGAGGCGGAAGGGCTGGGCTGGGCTGGGCTGGGCTCTGCGCACGCGCGCCCCCCGGCGAGGAGTTGCGGGAAGCCGCCGGAAGGCCCGGCTGGGTTGTCGCCTCTAACCAGGCCAGGCTGTGCAATGCATGAGCCACAGCTGGGCCTAAGACTCCATAAGTCAAGCACTGCGGGGCGCCCAGCCCAGCCAACACATGCTCCCAGGCTCTGGAGCCGGGCCCCGGCTGCCTTAGAAAACCGGTGCAGCCCCACCGCCCGGGCCCGTCCGGTAATAGTCGGACCGTCTGGCCCAGCCGCAGTGCCAAGAGAGTCTGGGGTTTCGTGGAATATTTTCTGGACTCGCAGACCAGGCTCCTTGCGAGTGGCAACGTGGATTTGCCACCTCCCCCCCACCTCAGCCCCGGCTCCACTTGTTCCCATGCAGAATTAACTGTTAGGCTGCAATCCCATACGCACTTATGGAGCAGCAAGTCCCACTGAACTCGATTAGAGTTTCCCCTAGATTACCAGGCATCGGACATGCTGTAAATCACCGATGCGTTGGTTTAAAGCCAGGGATGTGTGCGCGCGTGCGTGCGCGCAAAACCACGCGTGGGTAATTCCGTATAAATGAGAAGAACCCCTGTAAAGAAAGGGATAATTGGAGCGAGGAAATGAGGGTTGCAGTTCCGGTGCCATAGAAATGGAAGATGTCACATTGTACTTGGTATACGTACTAATTTTATGTCAATACTGTGGTTGTTGTCGTTATTATAATTATTATTGCCAGCAATAGTTTGAAAGAGCGAGACAGTAGACTCAAGTCCACGGATTGTTATGCCACAATAAATGTCTTAGTCATATTTAAGGTGCCCCGAAAGTCTGTTGTTTTTATATGTATACAGTTATTTCTAAAAGCATGATTATGACCAGTAGAGGATAAGATGATCGTACTCTGATTGGTTAATTCCACATGCACACACGGAGCGATTTCAATGAAATTTGGTTTCTCTCTTGGCAAGAAAAGCCAGGGAGGGTCTTCAGTGCGCTGCCAAGTTTAGCAAGGACTGGGCGGCTACAGTTCTAGGAAGAACTCATCTGAGAAAAGAAACAGAGGATCTGGGGGGGAAGGAGGTATAACTTGAACAGGTGGGTGGCTGGCTGGGAAAAAGGATGGGCATAGTGATGGATGAGTAACATTGATGTTGGAGCAGAGAATCGAATTCGAGGGACAGAGTTAGATTAGTTTGCTGAGAGGAGTCGAAAGGCGCCTCTGAACAATGGATGCGAATTTCCGGAGGATCCTGTGCATGTTTACTTGGGAGTCAGTTCCATTGAGTTCCATGGGATTAAACCCCCAATTTTCCGCTCATGGGACTGTAGTGATAAATAGACGGATATTCTTTTTAATGTGACAGCAAGGCGAGATTTGTT